TCGATCTGTATCAGGTTGGCTTGAAAAAGAAATCATTCTACAAAAAATTGAATGTTGATGAATTTATAAAGGAATCAGTAAAAAAAAAAAAGAAAAATTAAATTTAATCCTTAATCAAATCATCAGTAATCAACTATTCTGAAAACAATACCCATAATATTACTTATTCTAATCGAATGAAGAACATTTCCTCTTGATATATTTCAAAATAAATACACTGAAACTAGTAAAGTTGTATTTCAGCATTCACTACAATATTAAATTTGAGCAATAAATTTGGACTGAATTTAATAAAACTATTGATAAAATAAATAAAGCAAAGAAAGTACACCTCAATTACCAAATATAAATATAGCCCAACTAGTAGTGCTTACTTTCAAGAAAGTAATGCTAAAAAGTGATCTCAATTAAATATCAATTGAACCTATTAAAGAAAAAGATATGAACCTATTAGTAACAATTTGATTATTATTAATACATATTCAGACAAGACCACAAGATATTTATCAAATTAGAGATATTGAAATAATAGAAGAAATAAATATTGTTTAGTATTGATAATAGAGATGCTTTGCTCGTTAATTAACTACCATATCACTATTCATTGGCTACTGAAAGAAAAGGTTCCAAGATGCCCTGTTTAAGTAGACAATTCAACACTACTAAACTCTAGACTTTGTTAATCTAGTACCAAAGAACAGTTTTGTGTAGATTATATCTGAAAATATCAAATCTCGTGGCGTAATAAAAAAAATTTAAGAATCAAAAATCACATTATAATATAGATGTTCTAAAAACTTCACACAACACCTGATTTTTATCACATTATACCAGATCTTGTATGTACGTACTGTATATATGCAAATCTTATATAGTCGTATACTGTCTATACACAATACTGAACTACTTTATGACTTTCGGCTTACTAATAGTTAAACAACACTATACATACAAATTTATCAATCTTCTACTTAACAAAAATCAGATTCAACTTCTATAATTTGAAATTCATCACAAAATAAAAAAATATAAATTAGCAATTATTACATAGACATGTATAAACTCTTAATACTACACCCAATATAATATTCTATATAAAAGTAATAATGAAAGAAAGAGACACCACTATGATTCTATATATTACACAGCTTTGAAAAAATACATATTTTTTATATATAAATTATTTCTAAGATTATGACCACCACCAGTGCATTCACTGTTACAATAATGAATAAAATGTATTACATTATTTGTGTTAACTTCGCTTATAGGATAGATTCTCTGAGTTTTTCAAAGCCTATAAACTGAATATCTGAGTTTCTCTTGATTAGTAAATTCAAACTCATCAACAATAATAAAAATAAAATATTGATCATTCCTTTTATGTCTGAAAATTGATCATAGAATCGCAAAACATTCACCCACTTCAGATACTAAAGTGACAACATCACTAACATGCAGGTGATGTTGTATACCAATTCCATTATGCTCTAAAAAACAAATAGCTTCATAGTGTTGGTATGAATTTTCAAAAAATACTGATTCATAGGCTATTTTTTTGATATATTGATGTTAGCTTTTTACGAAAGTTAGAATTATTCAAAAATTTTTTCTTCAGCTTTTTTCTTAATCACATACTTTTTCAGGACTATGTTTGAGATATATTCATCTAGTAAAGAAATAATTATTATTAGAATATTTAAAAATTTTTACAATTTACTAATAACAATTCAATCAAACCTTCACTTATATCTTTTGAATCAAAGAAGTATTTAATAATGAACCATTTATTTATTAAACATTTTAATTGACAAGGAAGATTCCTTAAATTATTGTTTGTACAAGAAAAGCATTTGTCAACACCACCATCAAATAAATAGCATAGTGCAAACAATGTTGTATATCATTTTAACAGGTCGAGATCTATATTTTTCTAATTTGTCTGTGATACTATATTTTTGAATATACGATGCATCATCTCTTTAGTCTCTACACCTATATTTAATAAGGTCACATAATTTTTTGCATGTAGTACTAAATAATAATTAGCATGCAAGTTCAGAAAATTTTCAAAATCTTCAAAAGCCTAATTTGTAATATATTATTATTTATATGTATGTACTTATCATTATATAATAAGCAATGCATTAAATAATATATACATAACAATATTCCTAAATACTTGCGAAAACAATTTTCTTTCATCATCTAAATATTTACCCAATTCAACATAATCATCTTCTGTAAAAAATTGTTTAAATGATATTGACATTGTCTTTGCTATTAGTATCTAGCATTTTAATCACAGATTTATAGCCAAATCATTTTGAAAAACTCCTATTCATCTTTTAAATAAATTTAATTCTGAATTTCTAAAAGATGTAGGTTTTAAGAATCTATTAAGAATAAACGTAATCATCATAGCTAAATATAAGCAATCTGATATTATAAAACTATTCATATGAGAAATCGGATTCGGTAATTTTTGTTATGCTCCTGGATATTCAAATGATTTCCAAAACTTAATAAATTCCAATTGTTCTTCATTTAAAAGCGTTTCAACTATTATCTTAATAAACCTTAATACTTGTAAGATAGTATATATCTTGTAGACACTGAAGGTGTCTTTCTCTTTTTAGTCTATCAAGTATTGGTGACTGTAAATACAGCCTATACTCTGTGGCGAGTTCTTTACATTTTGTTATGGTTGGGGCCGCAGAAATTTTTTTAAATTGATTATCGATAAGATGATGGTAGCAGGAAACTATTGATAAGTCGATACCTTTAATAATTTATGTAATCTATTTAAATAATATAATGTATAATTATTTAATAAAGACCGAGGCCAAGCCTCACTTTTAAAAAAAAAAAATAAAATAAAATAAGATGATACCTTCAGAGGTTCAGGAATTTTTTACTATATTACATGTACAACATCTTCTTATAGCACCATGCTTTTTAACTCCAATCAAATCATTTCTTTGCGGAAGATCAGCGGTTACAGCACCAAGACTTGCAATAATAAGGCTTCGATTTCCTAGAACATTCATTACTATCTCTTTTTCTAGTTGTTTTATCTCAGTAACAAAGGGCTCAATAAATTCATTAAAACAACCTTCAAATAGAACAAACCCAAGCACAAAATGATTCTTTAGTAGTTTTTTTCATTAAAAGGTAAATTTCTGATTTGGATATAAACCTTCCCTAATGAATAGTAGATGTTACAGAATATCCCAAAATTATCATAGTAAAGATTAATATACAATTTATAAACTGGAATATTCACTTCAGGTATCTCTAATGCTGCAAATTCTGATGGGTGCTTATAAGAATATGCAATATCTCTTAATTTCTAATGTCCTTGATGTTTATAAAAGATTTCACAAATAAAAATTAAAGAAGAATCATTATTGTTGCTTTTGTTGTAAAATATAATAATATTAGCGATTTTGACAAGATTTTGTAATTCAACAAGTATGGTTGCATTTTTGATTTCTCTATCCAATAACTATAGTTCATTATGCAACCTTTGTTTTCTATTATTACTCTGCAAATTATTTAGCAATTCTTCAAATTTCAAAACATGTTGAATGGTTATTTTGAGCCTGCTATTTGTATTTACTATTGCCAAAATTCGATCAAATTTTTGTTTGTCACTGATTCTCTATAAACTATAAACTTTCTACACTTGTATGTTGCTAATTAATGTTGATAAAGTAATTATAATTTTTAGTATATGATTATACTTCTAAATTTTATACTAAAAAAAAAAAAATAATAATAATAATAATATATTTCCATTGTGTTGTATAGATGCATGTCCAAATCAGAAAGATTCTTTCCAAATATTGCTATGCCAAAGTTCCTGGTTTCTTTTGACAATCTGATCTGGCCCAAAATATATTTTGTTAAGCAGTAAAGGATTATTAAGAGAGTGCCAAATTATGTCGATAATAGATAAATAATATATCTCTTTAGTATTTTTAGATGTAGACGGTGTTTTTTTACTTAAAATGTTAATATTTTGTGTTTTGATTGGAAGTAAAGGTAATCTTTGCTGATACTTTCTAAAGCGATGAATATTTGTTACAATATCTTCAATTTTGAACTGTGGATAATGAATTATATCTACTAATTTATCATATGCTTGAGTATCTATTAAATATATAAATTTTAGGATGATTTTAATGTTCACTAAATGAGAAATTTACCAGATGTATTCTTTTCAAAACAACTTCGATAATTGTTATTTGGTATACTAAGTAAAAAATATTCAGCACCCTAAAAAACACTAATCTAAACTCTAAAGTTTAAAATTTGTGGCAAGATCATATATTATAATAATTAAAATACACTGTAGCAAATTTCACCTCTGGTAAATATTAAATAAATTCTAAATATTATTAATTTCTAATAATAAAGTATTATATACATATACTGTGTTTTTAAATCTAGCAAAACATCAATACTTCAGTAGGATTCTTGAAATATGGAGAGAATTCTCCACTAATAGATAGCATTTCTTCAATATTTAGTACTAGGTTAATAATTCTATCAGATTCTTCACTTAGCACATTATCTGCAAAATTTATTATCATTTCATCATCACTTAACATTTTATCATAAAAGAAGTCTTCTAATGTTTCATCAAATGCTTCACTGTCGAATGCTTTATCGTCAGGTATTTCATCTTTGAATATATTATTATTAAGTACTTCATCATTGAATGCTCTACCAAATAATTTTTTATTTGGTATTACATAATCATTTTCTACATTATTTGGTATCTTGCGAGCATTTATCTTTTCATAATCAGTTTCTTCATTAGTATGCTTTTCATTATCCAAATGTATATTATTTGTATTGCAGGGTGTCTTATATAATTTTGACATTTTCCATAGAAGCAATAGCGATTGCGAAGTATTGTAAAAATATAAATATTTAAAACAAAAAAAATATTTATTATAAAAATATTATCTAAAACTTTGAAATTTAAAGCCCAGAATCTATAGTGTAAATATTATTAGTCTTTTTTTTTCATTATTTTTCTTAAAATAATGAGTTTCAGAACTGCTAAGAAGCATGCAAATAAAAAAATAACAACTAACTTAAATAAAAGAGGTCACAAAAAAAAAAAAATAGTTGATTTACCAGATGACCATTATGATCCTTTAGATAGAGCTTTAATTTTGCGTAGTGATATTACAAATATTAAAAAAGGTTACAAAAAGTAGCAAAAGACAGTTGCTTCTACGTCTTTAAACGTTTATAATAATAATAAAGCACAAAACAAAATAAAAGAAGATACAAAAAGAAGCAAAAAAAAACTATACCTCAACCATCACTAATTGTTATTAAACTTTTAGATGATGACAATAATGCTCTCAATGATTTTAATAATATTTCTAATGTTGAAGTTCATAATAATATCGATGCTCTCAGTGATAATGATACTTTTAACAGTGACGATAATATTTCTAGTAATGTTGATGAATTTGTAAATCATGATTATACCATTACGCCTTCAAGTACATTAACAAAAACCAATAATCAGATTCAAAAAGACACTATTTCAAATAGAACAGCATCTTTAGAATCAATAACTGTGTCTAATTCAAAAGAAAACAGTCCTATTTACTATAACCCTACGTTAGATCTAGAATTAGAAGACCAGCCTGATTTTTCAAATAGAATTTT